TTCTCGCCCTATGGCACCCTCCCCGCTCTGTGCTTGCCCCTACCCTAGTCGGAGCCACCCCAACCTGTGGCCAGTTCGCCTTCCCAGTCCCTCCCAGGTCTCTCGCTTCTGCCCTGGCTCCAGACAGTCATTTCCCAACACAGCAGCTCCAAACATTTTACCCTGACCAGCAAGGCCTCGTGGGACCTGCCCCACCTTGCCCTCTGACCTCCTCTCCTGCCCCTTCCCTGCCAGGAACACTCCAGGCGAGGCGCAGCCTCAGGGCCTCTGACCTGGCTGTGCTGTGTGGCTGATACAGCTATCCCCAGGCACCCCCAGGTTTCCTCCCTCTCCTCCTCTGGTTTTTGTTTTCTGTTTGTTTGTTTGGAGACAGCGTCTCTGTGCCCCAGACCGGAGTGCAGTGGCACAATCACAGCTCAATGCAACCTCGACCGCTGGGCTCTGGTGATCCTAGCTCTTCCCACCTCAGCCTCCCGAGTAACTGAGACTACAGGTGCACCCACCATGCTCGGCTAATTTTTACATTTTTTTGTAGAAATAGGGTCTTCCTGGCCAGGTGTGGTGGCTCATGTGTGTTAATCCCAGCACTTTGGGAGGCCGAGGCAAACAGATCATCTGAGGTCAGGAGTTCGAGACCAGCCTGGCTAACACGGTGAAACCCCATCTCTACTAAAAATACAAAAAAATTAGCCAGGTGTGGTGGCTCACGCCTGTAATTCCAGCTACTCGGGAGGCCAACGCAGGAGAATCATTTAAACCCAGGAGGCAGAGGCTGCAGTGAGCTGAGATTATACCACTGTACTCCAACCTGGGTGACAGAGCGAGACTCGATCTCAAAAAAAAAAACAACTAAAAAAGAAATGGGGTCTTCCTATGTTGCCCAGGCTCGTCTCAAACTCCTGGCCTCAAGGTGAGAAAGAAAAGTTAGGTAGTTAGATAAGAAAGTTTGCACAAACCGGCCGGGCGCGGTGGCTCAAGCCTGTAATCCCAGCACTTTGGGAGGCCGAGGCGGGCGGATCACGAGGTCAGGAGATCGAGATCATCCTGGCGAACACGGTGAAACCCCGTCTCTACTGAAAATACAAAAAAATTAGCCGGGCGTGGTGGCGGGCGCCTGTAGTCCCAGCTACTCGGGAGGCTGAGGCAGGAGAATGGCGTAGACCCGGGAGGTGGAGCTTGCGGTGAGCTGAGATCCGGCCACTGCACTCCAGCCTGGGCAACAGAGCGAGACTCTGTCTCCAAAAAAAAAAAAAAAAAGAAAGTTTGCACAAACCTAAAGTCAAAGTCTAAAGAGCAGTCAGGTGCGGTGACTCACGCCTGCAATCCCAGCATTTTGGGAGGCTGAGGCAGGCTAACATGGTGAAACCCCGTCTCTACTAAAAGTACAAAAAATTAGCCAGGTGTGGTGGCGGGCGCCTGTAGTCCCAGCTACTCCGGAGGCTGAGGCAGGAGAATGGCCTGAACCCGGGAGGCGAAGCTTGCAGTGAGCCGAGATTGCACCCCTGCAGTCCCGCCTGGGTGACAGAGCGAGACTCCGTCTCAGGAAAAAACAAAAACAAAAACAAAAAGCAGCCCCTGACAGCCCCCCAAAAAGAATCTCAAATATCAGTGTAGAAAAGTCAGGGACTTACAACTAAAAACTGGAAAACGGCCGGGCGCGGTGGCTCACGCCTGTAATCCCAGCACTTTGGGAGGCCGAGACGGGCGGATCACGAGGTCAGGAGATCGAGACCATCCTGGCTAACACGGTGAAACCCTGTTCTACTAAAAATACAAAAAACTAGCCGGGCAAGGTGGCGGGCGCCTGTAGTCCCAGCTACTCAGGAGGCTGAGGCAGGAGAATGGCCTGAACCCGGGAGGCGAAGCTTGCAGTGAGCCGAGATTGCGCCCCTGCAGTCCCGCCTGGGGGACAGAGCGAGACTCCATCTCAGGAAAAAACAAAAACAAAAACAAAAAGCAGCCCCTGACAGCCCCCGCAAAAAGAATCTCAAATATCAGTGTAGAAAAGTCAGGGACTTAGGCTGGGCGCGGTGGCTCAAGCCTGTAATCCCAGCACTTTGGGAGGCCGAGGCGGGCGGATCACGAGGTCAGGAGATCGAGACCATCCTGGCTGACACGGTGAAACCCCGTCTCTACTAAAAAATACAAAAAACTAGCCGGGCGAGGTGGCGGGCGCCTGTAGTCCCAGCTACTGGGGAGGCTGAGGCAGGAGAATTGCGTGAACCCGGGAGGCGGAGCCTGCAGTGAGCTGAGATCCGGCCACTGCACTCCAGCCTGGGCGGCAGAGAGAGACTCCGTCTCAAAAAAAAAAAAAGAAAAGAAAAGTCAGGGACTTACAACTAAAAACTGGAAAACGGCCAGGCGCGGTGGCTCACGCCTGTAATCCCAGCACTTTGGGAGGCCGAGATGGGCGGACCACGAGGTCAGGAGATCGAGACCATCCTGGCTAACACGGTGAAACCCTGTTCTACTAAAAATACAAAAAACTAGCCGGGCGAGGTGGCGGGCGCCTGTAGTCCCAGCTACTCAGGAGGCTGAGGCAGGAGAATGGCGTGAACCCAGGGGGCGTAGCTTGTAGTGAGCTGAGATCCGGCCACTGCACTCCAGCCTGTGCGACAGAGCGAGACTCCGTCTCAAAAAAAAAACAAAAACAAAAACAAACAAACAAACAAAAAAACTGGAAAACTACAACAAAGGGATCCTTCCCACTCAGCCTCCCAAAGTGCTGGGATTACAGGTGTGAGCCACTGCGCCCAATGGGATTTTTTTTTTTTTTTTTTTTTGTCTAGATGGAGACTTGCTCTGTCACCCAGGCTGGAGTGCAGTGGTGTGATCTCAGCTCACTGCAACCTCCGCCTCCTGGGTTCAAGCGATTCTCCTGCCTCAGCCTCCTGAGTAGCTGGGACTACAGGTGACCACTGCCAAACCTGGCTAATTTTTGTATTTTTAGTAGAGACGAGGTTTCACCATGTTGGCCAAGCTGGTCTCGAACTCCTGACCTCATGATCTGCTCACCTCAGCCACCCAAAGTGCTGGGATTACAGGCATGAGCCACTACATCTAATGGGATTTTTGCTTGAATCTGTCCTCACTGTATTCCGTGACCTCCCCATTTGATACTACAGGTCTCCCCTTCTCCCCATGTCACTTAGCCTCTCTGCTCTGTCTTATTCCATAGCTTTGTCACTTTCTAACGTTGTTATTTATTTATTTATTATTATATATATATATTTTTGAGAAAGAGTTTTGCCCTGTTGCCCAGGTTAGAGTGCAGTGATATGATCTTGGCTTACTGCAGACTCTGCCTGCCCGGGTTCAAGCGATTCTCCTGCCTCAGCCTCCCGAGTAGCTGGGATTACAGGTGCTCACCACCGCACCCAGCTAATTTTTGTAGTTTTTTTTTGGGGGGACGGAGTCTCGCTCTGTTGCCCAGGCTGGAGTGCAGTGGCCAGATCTCAGCTCACTGCAAGCTCCGCCTCCTGGGTTCATGCCATTCTCCTGCCTCAGCCTCCGGAGTAGCTGGGACTACAGGCGCCCGCCACCTCGCCCGGCTAGCTTTTTGTATTTTTTAGTAGAGACGGGGTTTCACTGTGTTCGCCAGGATGGTCTTGATCTCCTGACCTCATGATCCGCCCATCTCGGCCTCCCAAAGTGCTGGGATTACAGGCTTGAGCCACCGCACCTGGCCAGGATGGTCTTGATCTCCTGACCTCATGATCCGCCCATCTCAGCCTCCCAAAGTGCTGGGATTACAGGCTTGAGCCACCGCGCCTGGCCAATTTTTGTAGTTTTTAGTAGAGACAGGGTTTCACCATCTTGGCCAGGCTGGTCTCGAACTCCTGACCTCATGATCCACCCACCTTGGCCTCCCAAAGTGCTGGGATTACAGGCATGAGCCACTGCGCCTGTCCTATTTATTTATTTATTTATTGAGACGGAGTCTCGCTCTGCGGCCCAGGCTGGAGTGCAGTGGCCGGATCTCGGCTCACTGCAAGCTCCGCCTCCCGGGTTCACGCCATTCTCCTGCGTCAGCCTCCCGAGTAGCTGAGACTACGGGCACCTGGCCCAGCTAATTTTTTGTATTTTTAGTAGAGATGGGGTTTCACCGTGTTAGCCAGGATGGTCTCGATCTCCTGATCTCGTTATCTGCCCACCTCAGCCTCCCAAAGTGCTCGGATTACAGGCATGAGCCACTGCGCCCAGTAACGTTATTTTACTAAATCCTGTCTCTGAATGCAAGGGATACCTGGCCTGTTTTTATTCACCATCACTGTAGGTTGCTGAGTAAATGCTGAATTAATGAATGCATCACTGAGTCAGTGACTGATTGCCTTCACACAGCGAGTGCTGGGCTGGGATCCTCCGTGAATCTGGGGAGGTGAGGTTTGCAAAGACAGGACGGATCTGGGGTGGGGAGATACCCAGGCTAGGCTGGCACTCAGGGGAGAGGACAGAGGTGAAGGGACTTAAAAAGCACCTAGAGATATGCCTAGCTCTACCTAAGACTCTCAGTTAACCGCCTAAAGTAGGGACACTTTTTGCCATTGCACAGGTAGGGAAACTGAGGCCCAAGGGCGTTAACCCTGACCTGGCCTGGAGCCAACAGAGGAAACCCTGTACAGTTTGATGCACAAATATTTATAGAGTTCCCACTAGGCTCCCCGACCGTCCCTAGGAGCCGAGCTGCCCCTTGACCCATTCCAGGCCTCAGTTTCCCCGCCCACACTTCGCCCCCGCCTCATGGGATTCTAAACTGTCGCCGCAACGTGGGAGTTGAACGGAAACTACAACTCCCAAGAGGCCGTGCAGCCAAAGACACACGAGAACTACGGAGGGAGAGTCTCGCGCAGCAAACTGCCGTTCTCGCAAGGCTCGGGCTGCCCTTGGCGCTGCCGATCCCGGAAGTTGCTGCATTCAGGCGTTCGCCGACGACAGCCCATCGCGGGGCGGGGTTACGTGGAGGGGGCCTGATTGGGAGTCGGCGCAGGCGCAGTCCGCGCGGGTTCTCGCAGGCAAAACGGGTGCGAGTGGCGGCGATGGACGACGAGGAGGAGACGTACCGGCTCTGGAAAATCCGCAAGACCATCATGCAGGTGAGCCGCGCGTGGTGTTGGGGGCGGGGGCGCGAGCAGCAGGTGCAGGGGCCCGAGGCGAGGTCGAGCTCGGCGTCTCCTCGTACTCCCGTCGCAGCAGCAGCGACGGAGGGCCCGGCCGACACGGGAGGCCCCGAGGCCGCCGGGGATCCCAGGCGCTGGGCCCGACCTGAGCCGGCAGCGGGGAAGGGAGGGGGTTTCGAGACGTCTGGGTGCGGGGCTTAGCGGTGGGCGGGCGGCTTGGGCTGGTGCGGCGCACATGGCGGCGAGAGGAGGAAGGTGCGAATGGGGACGGGGGGCGCCCCCAGACCCTGCCCCTCTCTGTGATTCAGCGTCGCCATTTGTCCTTGCGTCCTGAACCCCAGGGCGTCTCAGCATCCGAGGCTGGCGGAGTTGGTGGTTGGGAAGCAGCAGGCGAGCTGGGGCTTTCGATGGGGACGTGGAGCCCGGAACCCGTGCCTCGGGGTCTGAGACAGATGGAGGCCACTGGGCCGACTCCGGTTTGGAAACTGGGCAAAGGTCTGAGGGCCTGCGGTTCAGGGTCCTCCCTCAGCCGTTGGGGCCGTTTGGGAGCTTTTGTTTTGTCTTGCTTCCCCACCCTATGCCCTTGTCTTTAGCGAAGCCCCCCGCAGCCTGATTCTCCTTCCTCCGGGCCGCAAACATTGTCAGCCTGAAGTCACATCTGTTTCGGTCCCTGTCTTTTTTTTTTTTTTTTTTTTTTTAAGAGACAAGCTGTCACTCTGTCGCCCAGGCTGCAGCGCAGTGGTGCAGTCATAGCTCACTGCATCCTTGAACTCCTGGCCTCAAGCAGCCCTCCTGCCTCGGCCTCCCTGAGCTCTGGGGTCGCGGACGTGACCCCCCACCCCCCGTCTTTGTCCCTGTCTTTAGGGTAGCTCTGCAAAGTGGTTTGGAGGGCTTTGCCCCCTGCCAGGTTCCTGTGAGGCTGGATAGACGGACGGTCTTGGTCAAGGCTGGACACCTCTGCGAGCCTCTCGGGATCACGGTGGTCCCATCCTGTGGTGTGGGGCTGTGGGGGCCAGGATGGCTGTCATGGGGCACACAGCGAGTGTTCATTCCGTTTGCTGTTCACCTCTGTCCTCTGCAGCAGCCGCAGGTCTGACTTCTGGGTCACGAGCTCTGGCCGCCTTCCTGTCTCTGCCCTGGGGTCAGCTGGTTCTTTCTCTCTGCAGCTGTGCCACGACCGTGGCTACCTAGTGACCCAGGACGAGCTTGACCAGACACTGGAGGAGTTCAAAGCCCAATTTGGAGACAAGCCGAGTGAGGGGCGGCCGCGGCGCACTGACCTCACGGTGCTGGTGGCCCACAACGATGACCCCACCGACCAGATGTTTGTGTTCTTTCCAGGTGAGCAGCGGGTCCCGGGGGAGTTCTGGTGGAGCCGCCCGAGCACCTGCTGAGGAGCCGGCCGCTAGCACCCCCCCCCTCCCGCCTTGTGCCCAGCGTTTGATCCTCTGCCCAATCTGGGAGGAAAACTTCCCCTCCTCTTCCTTGCTGTGGGCGATGCCGTGGACCTCTGACCCCTCTCATGCGCAGCCTCTTTCTGGTTTCCCTCTCATCGGTCCCCTTTCTTCCTGCCAACCAGGAGAGTCCCATGGACCTCCCTACTCACCCGCAGCCCCTCATGACCTTTGCCCTACCTGTGTTCCTTGGCTCCCCCATCCTGGCCGTTGGGTGCACTTCCAGCTTCTTGGCCTGGCCCAGGAGGCCCCGTGTGGGTCAGCGCAGCCTCCTTGTGAGCTGTGGCCCCTGTCTGCCCCAGCCCATTCCTCTGCACCCCATGCCGCCTCTGCCCTGTCAGCGTCCGCTACTCATCCCTCGAGGTTGTGCTCAGGCCGCTTTTCCCGGGACCCCTGGGACCCTCGGTTTCAGCACCTGCACCGTGGAAGTCTCCCCACCTGTCTGCCCCCCCAGGATGGCTCTAGCGCCCTCAGTGGTTGGGGGACTACCAGCGCCTAGGGACACAGCCGCGTGCCCAGAATTAATCAGTGGGGTGGACGGAGCGTGTCTGCCAACCGGGTGATGCTATTGCTTTTTTTTTTTTGAAAGTCTCATTCTGTCACCCAGGCTGAAGTGCAGTGGTGCCATTTCGGCTCGCTGCAGCCTCCACCTCCTAAGTTCAAAATTCTCCTGCCTCAGCTTCCTGAGTAGCTGAGACTGCAGGCACCCACCACCATACCTGGCTTTTTTTTTTTTTTTTTGTATTTTTGGTAGAGATGGGGTTTCACCATGTTGGCCAGGCTGCTTTCAAACTCCTGACCTCAGGTGATCTGCCTGCCTCGGCCTCCCAAAGTGCTGGGATTACAGGCGTGAGCCACTGCGCCCGGTCTTCTTCTTCTTCTTTTTTTTTTGAGGCTGAGTCTCTCTCTCTGTCACCCAGGCTGGAGTGCAGTGGCGCAATCTCGGCTCACTGCAACCTCCACCTCCTGGGTTGAAGCAATCCTCCCACCTCAGCCTCCCACAAAAAGCTAGGTTTACAGGCATACACCATCTCCTGGCTACTTTTACTTTTTTTAGTAGTGTTTATTTATTTGTTTATTTGGTTTTTTGAGACGGAATCTCGCTCTGTCGCCCAGGTTAGAGTGCAATGGCACAATCTTGGCTCACTGCACGCTCCTTCTCCCGGGTTCACACCATTCTCCTGCCTTAGTCTCCAGAGTAGCTGGGACTACAGGTGCCCGCCACCACGCCCAGCTAATTTTTTGTATTTTTAGTAGAAACGGGGTTTCACCGTGTTAGCCAGGATGGTCTCGATCTCCTTACATTGTGATCCCCCTGCCTCAGCCTCCCAAAGTGCTGGGATTGCAGGTGTGAGCCACCGTGCCTGGCCAATTTTTTGTACTGTTAATAGAGATGGGATTTCACGATGTTGGCCAGGCTGGTTTCGAACTCCTGACCTCAAGCAATCCACCTGCCTCAGCCTCCCAAAGTGCTAGGGTTACAGGTGTGAGCCACTGCACCCGGCCTCAGGTGACGCTTCTTAAAGAGAGCATCCTGGGGTGTGAGATGTGCTTGTTGGACAGGTGGGTGCTGAGTCACCCCCCCTCCCCAGGACTGCCCGGGGTGGGAGCCTCTCAGAGTTGAAGGTCTCTGCCTCTCACTGGTCTCTGGGTGACTGAGGGGTGTCAGGCCCCCGTCCTTGTCTCTAGGTGAATGAGGTTTCAGCCCTTTCTTCCCCTGTCCTGGGATCCTGCAACTCAGGTCTCGTTTTGCAAACGTGGAAGCTGAGGTCTGAGCAGGAGAAGCACCTGTGTGGAATGGGGCTGGAACCCAGGTGCTCTGTGGTCTGGGTGGGCGAAGGCCGGGAGGGCCCAGGGTGGTGCAGGCCAGCACATTTTCTGTCTGCAGAGGAGCCCAAGGTGGGCATCAAGACCATCAAGGTGTACTGCCAGCGCATGCAGGAGGAGAACATCACGCGTGCCCTCATCGTGGTGCAGCAGGGCATGACGCCCTCCGCCAAGCAGGTGGGCACCCCCCACCCCGCCCTTCCAGCCTCTCGCCCTCCCCAGCCTCCTCCCCCGAGCAGCGCCCACAGGCGGCAAACGTGCCTGGGGCCAGGCCCGTCAGGGTGCCCTGGAGGATGTGGCCCGGATGTCTGACAAGCCCTGACCGCCTCCCTCCCACCCCGTCCATGGCCCCACTGCTGAACCCCAGCCCCACCCCAGGCGCTGCCGCCCTCCCCTGGCGCTCGGGAGGGGCGTAAGGGCGGAGGGCGCTGTGCCTCTGTCGCCAGTGCCTGTGTGCCGCAGCCCTCGGCCTGGCGCCGCTTGCGGGAGCCGGAGGTTCCTTGTCCTGAGCCAGTGTCCAGGTGGACACGCAGGGGAGGCCCGGCACGGGGCGTGTCCCCGCCTGTGTATCGGACACTCCTGAGCCAGGCTGCCGTGCTGTGATGGGCAGTCAGCAGAGCAGTTTAGTCCCTGGCCCACCGGCTGCGGGGTTCACGCAGTTGCACAGAGCGGCACCCCGTATGGGGAAGAGGCCACCTTGCAGCTCTGAGGGCCGCCCCTGGAGGCGTGTGACGGATGGAAACACGTCCGAGTTTCCACGGCCTCATCACTGCTCATGACAGAGGCCCTTGATGAGCGGAGAGGCTGGTGGGGCTGGCAGTGGGGTTTTCTGATTTATGACGTGGGGTGTGTTGGGGCACACGAGTAAGCTCTATGTAGCTTGAGGCAGGAAATGGAGTTGGGGTTGTCTGGGCCCCTCCGGGCCGTGCCTGAGCGCCACTCTCTTCCAGTCCCTGGTCGACATGGCCCCCAAGTACATCCTGGAGCAGTTTCTGCAGCAGGAGCTGCTCATCAACATCACGGAGCACGAGGTGGGCGCCCGCCGTGGAGCCTGCGTGGGGCCGGCAGAGATGCAGGGTTTGCGGGTGGCCAGGAAGATGTGGGATCTGGGGCCCAGGGTGGGTGCTCCCGTTAGTGCGTGGAGAACAGGGGTTCTCAAAGGGTGGCCCGGGACCTGCAGCAGCCAAACCCGGGAGCTTCCTAGGAATGCAGATCCGCAGGCCCACCCCAGCCTGTAGAACGGGACTGTTGGGGGTGTGGAGGGAGCCTAGTGCTGCCGACATGGCAGGAGGGGTCCCAGCGGGAGGCGGCTGTGCCCTGCCTGTCTGCCTCAGAAGCCTGTGCAGCCGGGGTGCGGGGGTCGGGGGAGGGGGGTTCGGGGCTCTTGTCCATCTGGAGGCACAGGGGCTGTGGTGGTGCCTGGGAGCCGTGGGGTCTGGCCAGCCCTCGGTGATGCCTGGTGGCTTCCTCTCTCGGCAGCTGGTCCCTGAGCACGTCGTCATGACCAAGGAGGAGGTGACAGAGCTGCTGGCCCGATAGTATCCTTTCCAGCCCCTGTCCCTTGAGACTTCCGCGTCCCCCTCCCCCTCCACGGCTCCGTCTGGCATTTTCCTGACCCTGCTTCCCAGTAAGCTCCGAGAGAACCAGCTGCCCAGGATCCAGGCGGGGGACCCTGTGGCGCGCTACTTTGGGATAAAGCGTGGGCAGGTGAGCCTTGCAGGAAGAAGGGGCCCTGGGGCTGCTTTGAGCTGACCACTCCGAGAAGGGGCTTCTCTTCCTCCGTGACAGCCCCGCCCCTCAACCCAGGGCCTAGAGGGGACCTCGGGACCAAACCCCCAATCCCCCCCTCTTAAAGCCAGGGTTACTAGGCCCAGAGAAGAGCGTGACCCAGGTTCCCGGGGAGCGGGTCCTGCAGCCCAGGGTCAGCATTTTGGGCCCCTGCCGGCCATCCCCAGCCCGTGGGCTGCCCGCCTGCTGTCTGGTGACTGCAGTGAGGCCCCTCAGGCGTTCCCAGCCCCTGCTCTCTGTCTCTGCAGGTGGTGAAGATCATCCGGCCCAGCGAGACGGCGGGCAGGTACATCACCTACCGGCTGGTGCAGTAGCCACCGCCTGACAGGTGAGACGGCCAGAGGGACAGGCACTGAGGCGGGGGTGTCGTCCCCTCCAAGCTGTTCTCGCTTCGTCCAGCAGCAAACCCGTCCTAGCACCAGCCCAGCTGGGCCACCAGGCGCTCCCAGGACATCTCCAGCCCCCACCTGACTACGCGGGGCATGCATGTCCCCCGCCACTGACCCACCTTAGAAGCGAGACACGGGTGGGTATGCGGCGGGCCTTTCCAGAAGAGGGTTTAGAAACCTGCCTGGAGAGCCCAGCGCTCGGAGAGGGGGTGCGGTTTCAGGCTACCCCTTCCCGGCGTGGGCACCTGGGGAGGGACTGGCCTGAGTCAGGAGCGGGACAGCCTTTGCTCATGTGAGAACCTCGCAGCTCCCCTGGACTCTGGTCCTGGCGAGGTGCTTTCCTGGCAGGCAGCCCCACTTCACACTCAGCCCAGGGGTGGGGCTTGGCCTGGTCTGATGCTGGCACAGTTCCTTTGAGGTCAGAGCCACTGCCCACATCTGTGTGACCGCTGGGCACAAGTGAGCCGCCCAGCCTCTGCACTGTGGCCTGGGCCTCCTCCCGCCGGGCCTCCTGCACCTCCTTATCGCTCAGTAGTGGATGTTGGGTTGTCCTGGGCCGACTAGATCTGCCCCACTCGTGTGACCACCCTCCACTTCTTTCCCAGCCCCTAGAGGCAGACACACAGACAGTGACCCCCATCCCTGCAGGACGGACGCCCCTGCCCTGCCAGAGTCCAGCCCCCCAGCTCTCACGGCTGCTGCTTCTCTGGACTCCCCAAGGCAGGTGGCCTTCACCCAAGTTCTCCCGTCCTGGGGTGAGGCCCAGCCCGGCCCATTCACCTGTGGATTTGTGCAAGATGCAGCCTCAGAAGAGACAAAGCCCCTGAGGGAGGTCACCTGGGGGCAGTTGGTGCTGGGCCCCCTCTGTTGGGGGTTTGGGGTCCCGGTCTCCCACCAGCCACTGCTTCCTCCCGGGCTCTCAGCCTTCTACCCCTTGTCTTCCTTTCCTCGGGGGCCCTGAAGCGTGGTGGCCCCCGCCCAGCCTCGGCTCCTTACTCCATTCACGGCTGTGCACACTCTCGAGCCACCAGGGTGTGAGATTCCAGCTCTGGAGTTTTTGGTTGTTGGAGGTGGTTGGGTGTTTTCAAACGTTAAAGATGTTTTGAGCAAATAAATTTACTTGATATGAAAACCAGGCCTACTGAAAAGGTATTTAGCAGGTGGCCTTACGTCTCCCCAAGCACACGAGGTCGGCTTGGCAGGCGGTCCCTCCTGCTGGCATTCTCTGGCCCTGGCTTCGGAGGTCAGCGCCTCCCCAGGCCCTCACCCCGCCCTCCCAACTTGTGCTCCTGGATCAGGCGTGAGCGTGTCTCCCTCCCTTCCCGTGAGGGTGTGGAGTTCTCTGGTGTGTGCAGCTGTGGTTTGTGGCCAGTTCCTCGTATAGACGTTTGGGATCTGGCTCTACTTCCCCCTTTGTCTGATTTCAGAAGGCCTCGCCTGCCCAAGTTTAACCCAGCTGCCTGTGTTTACTTCACAAGAGCTTTATGAGGATGTAATTCACCCTTGTGTGATGGGTGGTCTGCAGGGCTCCCGACGCCCAGGCCGGGGATGGCGCAGTGCAGCCCCGCAGGGATCTTTAAGTTAAGTCTGATGGTGTGTGAGTGACAGGGACGGTGCTTCCCCTTCTCTCCAAATGTGCTTTTTTCAAAATCGTTTCGGCCAAAGCAAGCCAGACACAAAAGGACAAACACTGATTTCACTCCTAGGAGGTCGCTAGAGTCGTCAGAGCCCGGAAGCAGGATGGGGGTGCCCGGGGCTGGGGACGGGGATGGGGACAGCGTGTGTCATGTGCACATAGTTTGGGAAGATGAGAACATTCTGGAGGCCGGGTGCGGTGGCTCACGCCTGTAATCCCAGCACTTTGGAGGCCGAGGTGGGCAGATCACTGGAGGTCAGGTGTTCGAGACCAGCCTGGCCAACATGGCAAAACCCTGTCTCTACTGAAAATACAAAAATTACCTGGGCGTGGTGGCTCATGCCTGTAATCCCAACTACTTGGGAGCTGAGGCAGGAGAATCTCTTGAACCCAGGAGGTGGAGGTTGCAGTGAGGCTCAAATAGGAGGATCGCTTGAGCTCGGGAGTTAAAAGACCAACCTGGGCAACACAGAGAAACCCCTCCCCTCTGCAAAAAACTTAAAAGATTACCTGGGCACAGTGGCTCACACCTGTAATCCCAACACTTTGGGAGGCTGAGGCGGGAGGATCATTTGAGGCCAGGAAGTCAAGGCTGCAGTGAGCTACGATTGTGCTACCATACTCCAGCTTGGGCCGCGGGGTTACACCCTGTCTCAAACAAAACGCAGTTCCACGGGCGTATGGGCCACGTTTCCAGTGCTTGGTGGCCACGTGGGGCTGGTGTGTGGAACCTCAGAGCTCAAGAACACGTCCGTCATCTGGAACGTTCTCCTGGACTGCCCTGGGCTGCAGGTGGACACGACATGGTCATTCGATGCCTGAGTGTCGGCACAGCCTGTCGTGAAGACCACCTGGGCTCCCACCTCGCGGGGCCCCGTGGCAGGGGGTTTCCCTTCCTCACATCTCCCCTGGGAGGAGGCCCAGGGCCACGCTGCGGGACTACGTCCCCTCCCTGGCCCCTTCCAGGCTGGCAGCTGCCACAGAAAACACCCGATTAAAACCTTTATTTCAGCAAAATACACGTGCCTGTGAAAAGCTACACGGTGGCTTCCGAGAGGCCCCACTGTGTACCTAAGCCCCAGGTGGCCACACCTGGTGTTCTGGAAAAGGGAGTCTAGGGCCAGTACTGAGGCCCTGCCGTACTGCACCCTGGACACCGCACCAGACCCCAGCCTCCGCCCCCATCCACAGCTCCCAGAATGGTTTCCGGAGTCCCTGCAACAGACCTGTGAGAGGCGGGGCAGGGCCTGCCGTCCCTGTGATGACCGGGGCATGCGGTCAGCTCCCTCCATCCACACAGCCCTGTGGGCACCAGCACGGCCACCGCGACTTCACTAGACAGCAGTGTTCTCAGCTCAGCTGGGCCGGGGCGCGGGGGAGAGCGCAGGGCACACCCCGCGGCCCTTGTGCTCCTGGAAGCTTCCGGGAGGCGGCGCGTGCTGCCAGGACAACCAAGTCCAGGTGCTCTCAGCAGCGACTCCAGGACGGGACCCCAGGACGACGCATAGAGCCCCCCTGGAGGGACAGGAGCAGGCGAGAGAGAAGCCACCTGTGGTCCCGGCCCCGCCCCAGCTCACACGAACTCAGGCCGCCTCTCCCTGCAGGAGCCCGGCGCGATCCGCCCGCCACGGAGCCTCATGGTGGGCAGTGGGGCCTGCAGCACGTTGTTGGACTGGTTTGTGTTGAATCCTGAGAGCTGCCGGGCCGGGTCGTCCTCGTCCCCGTCCTCCCGGGCGGTGGCCTCCAGCCGCTCCTCGCTGCCGCTGTGGCTGCCAGAAGCCTCCTCCAGGCTGGCCTCACTCTGCTGCTGCTCCAGGAGGCTGAGGCGGCGCAGGGCACTGGCCTCCGATGACGACAGCAGCTCGGAGGCCTCCTCTAGGTCCGAGTCCGAGTCGTTGGACACAACTCGGGATTCTGAGACAGGGAGACAGAGATGGAGGAGAGGCAGAGATGGGGAGAGACACATGCAGAAGAGACAGAGGAGAGGTGGGGAGAGAGATGGGGAGAGAGATGGGGAGAGAGACGTAGGAGAGACAGATGGGGAGAGACGGAGGAGAGAGAGATGGCGGGAGAGAGATGGAGGAGAGAGATGGGGAGAGAGGCGGGGGAGAGAGAGAGAGATGGGGAGAGACAGATGGGGAGAGACGGAGGAGAGAGAGATGGAGGAGAGAGAGATGGAGGAGAGAGAGATGGAGGAGAGAGAGATGGAGGGGAGAGAGATGGAGGAGAGAGAGATGGGGAGAGACAGATGGGTGAGAGAAGAGAGAGACAAGGGGAGGGACAGAGAGAGGACAGGGAGTGAGGAGGAGGAGGAGGAGGAGAGAGATGGGGAAGAGACAGAGATGGAGGAGGAAAGGAGAGAGGGGTGTTGACAGAGTCTGGCTCTGTGTCCCCACCTAAACCTCATCTTGTAGCTCCCCTAATTCCCACGTGTTGTGGGAGGGACCTGGCGGGAGATGGCTGAATCGTGGAGGAGAGTCTTTCTGGGCTGCTCTCGTGATAGTGAATGGTTTTCACAAGATCTGATGGTCTAAAAAGTAGAGTTTCCCGACACAAGCTCTCCCTTCGCCTGCCACCACCCATGCAAGACGTGACTCGCTCCTTGTTTTCCGCCACGATTGTGAGGCCTTCCCACCTACATGAACTGTAACTCCACTAAACCTCTTTCTTTTGTAAATTGCCCAGCCTCAGGTATTTCTCTCTTTTTGAGACCAGAGTCTCGCTCTGTTGCCCAGGCTGGAACGCAGTGGCACGATCTCGGCTCACCGCAACCTTCAAGCAATTCTCCTGCCTCAGCCTCCTGAGTAGCTGGGATTCCAGGCACCTGTCACCACACCCAGCTAATTTTTGTATTTTTAGTAGAAACCGGGTTTCACCATGTTGGTCAGGCTGGTCTCAAACTCCTGACCTCAAGTGATCCACCTGCCTCGGCCTCCCGAAGTGCTGGGATTACAGACGTGAGGCACCGCGTCTGGCCTCAGGTGTTGATCAGCAGTGTGAAAACAGACTAATACAGAGGTACCGTAACTAGATGCGGCACTCAGGGCTGGCTGCCTCTGACAGGTGGCGCCAGCCCCACCTGAGTCAAACCCCCAGCCCCGTGCCCTTCTCTAGAAAATGAGGCTGCTGCAGGAAAAGCACTTAGCCTGGCCAGGTGCCTGGTGCACCTGGAGCCTTACACAGCGTCAGCCGCACGTTCACGTTACCGGTTTCTGAGTGCGGGGTAGGCGCCTCAAAAGGCACTGCCTTGCCTCTGTTTGCAGCTGGTTAAAAGAAAATGAACGAGTAGCTCACAGGTGTGGTCTCCGTGGCAGACAAAATCCACAGAACGTGCTGCGCCGTGGACCCTGCCACGTGTGCACAACTAGGTCATGGCACCTGCGCCCACGGGTGGCACACGCCGGCCTCCCTTGGGGCTGTTCGGGCAGCCACTCACTCACCTCTGCACCCATCCTCCGCAGCCTCCTGCAGGGGGTACACCACCCCCTCGCCCGCCTCCAGGTACGGCACCTGGATGACCACCTCAGCTCGCTGGCTGGATGACTCGTCCTGCAAGGGCAGAAAGGAAGTCAGGGAGGGGCCAGGGCTCCATTTTCCATGTTACAAATTAACAAACACACCACACAGCCCCTAACAGCTACTGACACCTGCTGCTGCCCAGGCTGTGACCACACTGGCCATTCCCACAAGGAACATGGGACGGGAATTTCTGAAATTCCGCTCCTCTTGCCACCCACGGCTGCTCCTGTCCCCATCTGTGGTTTCTCCCGAGAGCTTCAAGAGCACAGGACGGAAAGGCCATACCCAGCACAGACACCGTCAGAGCTGTGGGCCCCACTGTCCTGAGACCGCACCCCAGGCGGTCTGTCCTCAGCCAAGAGCAAACCCGGGAAACTGCACCCACTAAACGCCCAGAGAAGATGGATTGAAAAAATACGAGAGGCCGGGCGCGGTGGCTCACACCTGTAATCCCAGCACTTCAAGAGGCCAAGGCGGGGTGTGGATTACTTGAGGTCAGGAATTCGAGACCAGCCTGGCCAAAAAAGTGAAACCCCATCTCTGTTAAAAATACAAAAATTAGCCGGGCATGGTGGCGGGCGCCTATAGTCCCAGCTACTCGGGAGACTGAGGCAGGAGAATCGCTTGAACCTGGGCAGCGGAGATTGTGGTGGGCTGAGATCGCCCCATTGCACTCCAGCCTGGGCAACAGAAGTGAAACCACAACTCCTAGACAGGAAACTCTGAAGCAGGGGATTGACCTCGCAGCAGAGTGCAGTGGCAGCTCGGGTGGCTGTGGACACAGGGGCTAGCGTGCTGCTTGTGGCTGCAGGCAGCACCGGGGTGGGAAACGGGGAAGGAGGGTGCCTGAAAGGTGAGGCCCAATGCCAGCCCCAAGGGAGAGTGGAGGGGCCGCCGCAGAGCCTTTGCACCTCTGCCAGATTCAGTGCAGACTTCGCGCAGTTCTTTGCATGAAAGACAAAAAGACACAGGCCTCT